AAAACCTTCATATTCTTCCAAAAATTGCTTTAAATAAAAATCGACAAAACTCGAAGGCAGGAACTTGAAAAACTGAGCTGGAACATTACCAGCATGTCGCCAAATAACGGCCTGAAGGATGAAAGGCAATCCGAGACACTCTTTGGGGATGCTGTTCTAGTTCACCTAGAGGATCTGTAGTTTCTAAACTCCAAAGCCTGACAGTTCCATCATGCCCACAGCTCACAGCATTCAAAGCATACGGCTCTTGAGAAATATATGCACCGGGATGAAATCTCGCGCAACCTGCCTGTGCCTTGTGAGCTACATAATGAATTTCTTGTTTACACTCCGGCACTGACCAAATACTACACTCGCCCGACCTTAAAGGAACGAAAATTAGCACCCATTCGTAAATGCTCTAAAATTGTTTTAAGAACCATTTAAATAAAAAAATTAGAATCTTAGAATACCACAGAGCCCTTGAAAGAAAAATGAAACCTTGAAAAGATAGAACAAGTCTTCAAAAGAATCTATTTTTCAATGTTTTAATATCCAAAAAAATCAATGTTTTATCAACTCGTTACCATCCAGAAGTAATTAGGTGTTTTGAGTCAGGTGAAAATTCACAGTAAGATACTGGGCGGTTGTCCGCGACTTGAGATCCATAGACTGCTAGTGAAGCAATCCATCTGTGCATTTCTTGGACTGCCACTGCTTTGAGATTCGGCGGTCTTGTGGCCTCCTCCCGAGCCTAAAAGCATTTTCAGTAAAGCTTTGTATAAAATCTGCCTTTTTTCGAAATAAATATTAAGTAAATTCACTTTTAGAAGAAGAAGCACAGGTGCTTCTTAAAAAGCTGAACAAACTTTGATTAGTCTATCTTTGGCTTTCGGAAGCGAATACTCAGCAATATTTATTCTAGCGTCTCGTAAGGAAGCGGGCCCTCTGTGATACCATGTAGAAGTGTCGTTCTGCTGAACAGTTTCCGACTCTTCAGGGCTGTGAAGAATTCGCGTAACATCATCTTCAGCCATCGTAGAAAGTATAGTTCGTAAACGCTCTTTACGGTCAAGTTTATCCTCTCCAAATAGACCTGCAATCGCTCGCTAATACTTAGTAGCAGACTAAAGAACCCAGTTGAGCACGAGCTTTTTGTTGAAAAAGCACTTATTTAACATTTCTAAAAAATAACTAAAGGTAAAACTCACAGATGGGCTCGTTAAGTTTACGCAGAAGTAACTTCACATGGCCATCATCTGTAGGAAGTGTTAAAGTCCTAGCACGTCTTCTTCTTTCAAATTCGGCCATCACTTCTTTTTCCATTGGATTCTCAATGATATCAAGCTCCATTTTTTCCTGCTTTGTTTCGGACTCCCGTTTATCTTTATCTGCCTTTAAATATTACTTTTAGAAAAAACTCCGTTTTCAAAAGTAGGAGCATATTAAAAATACTTCCAGAAGCAATACAAACAATTATATGACAAAGTTTAGATGCCTCAAAAAACTTACAATAGGTTAATAACAAAAATATTTCTTTAAAAAAAAATTACGGCCTTACCAACAACTGTTTAACGGTTTCCTCATTTGCGAGCGACCCAATTGGCGCTTTACTGGGAAGTGCCGGAGCAGCGGTTGCGGGAGGTTCACCCATGGCTGAAAACTCAATGTGAAATTTAAAAAACTGCAATCAAAATACTGAGCTAAACCATGACCAATGCCGGATTCAGGGCCGCAGAACAACAATCATTCTCCTTCTGGTGTTCTCCGTTCACAAATACTGCCACCAATTTACTCCTTACTTTTCTATAAATTCGCAAATCTCTGAATACTTCTTCAGGTGGCTATGACATACACAACCTACCATAACACAACAGCTGAATTCCAAAAAAAAAAAAAAAAATTTTCACAATCAGACGGTCCAATACCTCCCCTAATTTAAGCCAGACATTTAGTTATTACTACCATGATATTTTCAAATCTTATGACCTTACTCCATAATTACGCTTTCCAATTCCAGATTTTATGCCATGTCTTATCTCCACATGTTATCAAAAATCCCTCTATTCAAATCCCCGACAATTTCTTCAAACGGTTTCTGTAGTCGAACGTAAGCTGACGCCAATGTTTGTGTCACTAGCTGTGTTTAAATATTTTACAGCTTAACTTAAATCTCTAAGTTGAATTTACTAAGAACAAACCCCTCCCACGTAAGACAACTCCTTGACACTATTCTAAGGTAATGGACACTCAAAAACCGACAGGAAACATATATACGAAAGCTCATACAAAGAACATTGAAACCTACATTTATAAGACACAAATCTACGCCTAAATCTTTCCAGTGACTACAGGTCAAAATTCCATCAAAAATACACATTCACAGAACAAATTATTCAAAACCAAATTTCCCTCAAAACACTAGCGTACCTTATTGCTTGCACCGTTCAATAAAAACGAAGTTTTCGAAATACTTCGGAAGCCCGAATAGCAAGATTAGTTTCAAACATCTTTAAAACGGAAAAAAGCCAAATTGCACCATCTCATGTTACAGTTGAAAGCAGTCATATCGTAACAGAAATAAAAATATCGTCAAAATATATTTCCATTAGAAATAGTAACACCATCATTACCATTATTTATATTATCATTGTTATTATCACTGCTGTTATCCTTGTCACTGTCACTACCATTACTGTCATTGTGAACAGTGCTAACGTCAAATAATTAATCGGTAAAAAGCCATTGAAAAGATCTACACAAGAACAGAAGACGAGAAAGGTTTTTTTACTGGCTAAGAAACACCAAACACAACGTAATCTCTTTGGTCCAAAAATTAATTAGTCAAGTGACAAAGATTCATGAGTATCATATTTCAATCTCCAAAAATGGACTAATTGTGGTAAAGATGTGAAATTGAAGAGGAACAAATGCAAAGACAATATCATTCTTCTACAGTGAGAATTAATAATCGCACAAATTGTTCTTCAACTTGTGGTTCCCGCTTTCCTAGATGGGACCTTGGTAAACAACGCAGATAGAGAAAGCAGTAACAAATCTTTGCAACAAAAAGCTTACAGAAAAATAACAATTAGAATACCTCGATGAGCTGCATACAGCCTTATTTAAAATAAGTGTTACTAAAAATAAAAATATTTTTAGGGCTTGATTACTACTGAAACCCACTTACAAAGAAATCTTTATAAGACTTTTCTCTTCTTCAAACGATAGTGGTGCTGCAGACCTGAATTTTGCTTATATTGAATGTTGTCTAGATTTTTAAAACTTTTGAATATTTTTGTTATAACCGACAACTTCCACAAATCCTTGACCTTTTTTTCGATAAACCTTCTGGCGCAAAAGCTAATCATCAGCTGCTTTTTAGACCTGATATTTTCCCTACCAGAACTCCTCTACACGAAATGAAGAAACATAAACAAAAACAAAGTCAAAGTTCATGTTCTGGATTATAACAAGAATGAATAAACCAATTGCTAAAATTCAGATAGAACTAAGTGTAAGTACAGTTGCGTCTGTAGCACTAACAACGTTCAAAAAAAAAAAAAAAAAAAAAAAAAA